TTTGCTGATATTCGCAAGAAGCATTTCAATGTCAATAATATGTATGATTTATTTAATAATGTTCCATTTACAAATATTGTTTCATTCTTAAAAGAAGTTGGAATATATTCTAAAATATAAAAAATGTTATTATATTTAAAACGATTTTAAATTTTATCACATTATCTTAATGTTCATTTTTATTTGTAAATAATCAATTTGCTTTTATCTAGAATTTTAGTTTATTGAAGGGCCTTTTGTCTGATTTTAAGAATATGCTTTAAATTGTAAAAAAATATTCGAATTAGCTCTCGCCGCGATATAGCCTTGTTGTGCTAATGCGGCGTAAAGCAACCAACAATCAATCAATCAATATTCTTCTATTGATATCACTATTTACGATCCCTCTCTTCTTCTGGATTATTCATGGCGTGGTCATGATGATCTATGTGGAAGTGATCACTTTCCCATAGTACTTGAACATCTTTTTACTTCTGCCCAACAGAGAGTACCACGTTGGAAACTTGAGAAGGCGGACTGGTCCTTGTTTGAGAATCTCTGTCAAGCGCAACTTCAGTCAAAGATGTTTGAGACTGTACAAGATCCAATTTTAACTTTTAAGGTAGTTCAGGGGTATAGAAAAAAAATGACAGAATTTTGTTATACTTTGTGAACTTAAATTTTGAAGCATGGTAATTGAAAAAATCCAAAAAAAATTGGGGGTCACCGGCCATCTAAGAGATTTTTTGACCTCTGAAAATGAGTGCAAATAGGCTATATGGATATATAGGGAAAATGGACATAAAACCTCTTTGATTGAATTTTCACAGCAAACAAAATGACAGAAGTTGCTCATTTTTTCATACTGAAAAGTTTGATGTCTCCTTTTTATGAAATTGGAATAAAATTTGGGGGTCACCGGCCATCCAAGAGATTTTTTGACCACTAACAATGAGTGCAAAAAGGCTAAATATAGGGAAAATGGACATAAAACCTCTTTGATTGAATTTTCACAGCAAACAAAATGACAGAAGTTGCTCATTTTTTCATACTGAAAAGCTTGATGTCTCTATTTTATGAAATTGGAATAAACTTTGGGGGTCACCGGCCATCCAAGAGATTTTTTGACCTCTAAAAATGAGTGCAAAAAGGCTAAATTTAGGGAAAATGGACATAAAAACCTCTTTGATTGAATTTTCACAGCAAACAAAATGACAGAAGTTGCTCATTTTTTCATACTGAAAAGTTTGATGTCTCTATTTTATGAAATTGGAATAAAATTTGGGGGTCACCGGCCATCCAAGAGATTTTTTGACCTCTAAAAATGAGTGCAAAAAGGCTTAATATAGGGAAAATGGACATAAAAACCTCTTTGATTAAATTTTCACAGCAAACAAAATGACAGAAGTTGCTCATTTTTTCATACGGAAAGCTTGATGTCTCTATTTTATGAAATTGGAATAAAATTTGGGGGTCACAGGCCATCCAAGAGATTTTTTGACCTGTGAAAATGAGTGCAAAAAGGCTAGATATAGGGAAAATGGACATAAAACCTCTTTCATTAAAATTTCACAGCAAACAAAATGACAGAAGTTGCTCATTTTTTCACACTGAAAAGCTTGAAGTCTCTATTTTATAAAATTGGAATAAAATTTGGGGGTCACCGGCCATTCAAGAGAATTTTTAACCTCTGAAAATGGGTGCAAATAGGCTGATTTCTGAATGGATATAGGGGAAATTGGAAAAAACCTTTCTTTTTGAATATTCACAGGAAAAAAAATGACAGAACTTGCTAATTTTTATGGCCCATCGTAGCTGAGGGGGCATTGAATTTTACCCTTGTCCGTATGTAAGTCTGTTCGTCCGTATGTACGTCCCAGATTTGATTTCCGTTCTCCAGCTTTTATTTGCCTCAACCAAATGTTATGAAACTTTATCACAATGTTTTTACCACACAACACACACCAAGTTTTAATTTTGTTGGTGTCACTTAAACCGTTCTAGAGTTATGCCCCTTTACAAATTGAAAAATTGCTGAATTTTTCCTTTCCTTTCTCTAACTTTAGGGAGCTACCATTTGATTTTTATGGGGGGCTAGGATGAAAAATTTTGTTCTGCCTTTTTATTTTTCCCTATTTTCAGTCCTGCCGTTTTATTTTTCCCTCTATTCAGTCCTGCCGTTTTATTTTTCACTCTATTCGGTCCTGCCTTTTTATTTAGTTTATCCTGACTTTTTTTTTACACAAATTGTCATCCTGCCTTTTTTTTTGGCAAATAATCTCATCCTGCCTTTTTTTTTACTCAAAACTCCTGTCCTGCCTATTTTTTTCAAATTTCATCCTAGCCCCCCCCATAAAAATCAAATGGTAGCTCCCTTAGTTTGCTTTTACCAAATGTTATGATTGATATCTTGCAGTTTCCTTTGCATTTTCTTATCAAACTTTGAAGTATTATTAAGTATCATGTGCAGATTTCGGTGTAAATAGGCTGTGTTTGCTTTATATATAAGACTCATTTCTAAAGGAGCACCAACATAAAATATTATGTAAAGGAATCATGGCATTTTCTGTTTATTTTCTTATTATGATATGAGTTAGAATGTCCCATTCAAGTATGGTTAATCTTTCTTTTATCACACATTAAAGATTCAGATAAATGTGAGCATTTGTTCTCGTTTTCTTTTCATTTCTTTTTAATATTACAAAAATACATTCCGAATAAATTTGACAAAAAATAGACTTACCATCACTACCACACATAATCAGCACAGTAAGTGCCCCTCTTTTTCCACTCCATTTGATTATCCAGTATTATGTGGTGATGTGCAAGTTATAATTGGTTTTTTTTGTGTGTTACCGTGTTGATTTAGGGAATTAACATGACTAAACATATTTCTTGATAGAAGTGAAACAACAATGTTCATGTGATCTAATACATTTATTTTATTTTCAATGGATATCTGTTCTTACGTTTGTTTGTACATATATAATTAAATAAAGATGCCAAATAAATTACATGTTTTTCTCAGTTAGAAATACTGTTTGTAGTAACTAGGTTAAATAATTTCACTGAATAGAATTTGCAAAGGCCTTGCTAATAATATAAATTTTTAAAAACATATTAAGACATTTTGCTTTGGACTTCAACATGACAAATTCTAGATTTAACCCTAATTTGGTTTATTATACAATTATTTGCAAAATGTAGATCATAATGAATATGTGTAAAATTTCTTTAACTATGTTCAGCACAAACATTGACCTGACCAATACCTGAATACATGTATCATCATGTAAACATCAAATAGTCATGATTGAAGACATCAAAATACTGTTTGTTTGAATATATTTGCCGTAACTTGTATAAGTCTTTCTGATATCATTTTATCCCATATTCAATCTTTTAAAGATGGAGATCTCCTTCTTTCCCATCCACAGAGGTAGGAGTATAATTATGCCAGACATCTCATTCAAAATTTTACTTTTTGAATAAACAGTATTTTGATACTTCTGTACAAATAGATGAAAGTATGTTATCTATAGATAGCTTTTTAAAGTTTCAACAGCAATAACATTTCTAAATAACCTTGGATGTCTTTTTACTAATATAAACACCTGAGAGAAAAGACTACAATTGTTCCTGCAGCTTTTTTATAATTGTTAAGCTATTTTCCAAAAATTTCTATATACTTGTTCTAATTGCCTGTACAAGCAATAACAAAAATCCACCAAAATATATATAAAAAAACACAGAAAAGACTAAGATTTATAGAACTGTTAATTCAACATATTTTAAAACTCTTATCTCAAGTTGAACATTTTTTCAAGAAAGTGTACAGTCAAAATTTATCATACTATGTTCATACAGTCTATCTTTATGAACAAAATTTGGGTTATAGCCGGATAAATTACTTCACTGGATTATGTATGCATTAAAAACTCAAATGCATCTCATCCAGTAAGTAATGGTCTTCCAATCAACGATAAATTATTACACAAACTTAAAAAAATTGATATCTAAAAAAATTCAAGGTTCATATAAAGTTGTATAACTATCAAAACAATTTGGTTTATATCATGAAGATATGTCTACAATACATTTACAAATATTACAGCAGGGCTCACGCTACCATTTACAGTAATTTACAGTACACATTAATGTTTATCTCTGATCACGAATGTCAACAAAAAGTTAGTTAAGGTAAAGTTCTGCATAACAACGATCAATTTTCTAATTCTTATTATACAGGAGGAATAATATTTTATGTTAAAACTTCATGACCTCCCCTGTAACTGTATCATATGCTCTTAAAGTATTACCACTAACTGACTACCTTATATAACAAGACATATTTTTCCTTTACTTTTGACTAATTAGATACTCATATACTCTTTGTATAATTTTTTTGTTTGATGTCACTCTAACTACCCCAGTTGAAGACTTTTCTGTCATTAAGGCTTTGAGTCCTGCCATGTCATTTCGTTGTACTGCTAATTGGAAATGTTGAAACCTTAGGTTAGACCTCGCTGTCTTTAGTGCCATAGCTTTTGACAGACATTTTGATTGAACTAGCTTTTCAAAAGTTTTCAAGTTGGCCAATTGCATCTGGTATAACTGAGGGTAGCTAGGTGAAAAAGCAAGTTCACTAATAAATTGAGAAACATTACCTTTCTCAGTGACTAAATTAAAAAGTAATTTTGTGTCATACACAGCATTATGAGATTCATACTGTTGACCTAATAGTTTGTCAACAAGAAAAGACTGGCTATAAGATGACAAGCCAGGTGAAACAAGTTTAAACAAATTCAAAGAGTCTAAAAATGCAACAATACTTGCACATAGTTCACTGTACATATTCATACATTTTAAGGTATGAAATAAAACATGGCAGTCAAATCGTTTCATATTATGTCCTACCAATACAGGTTTATCTGTGAAACTTGACAAATAAGTTAAAAAATCAGTCATTCCTTCATGTTTATGCTTATAAACAACAGCGTTACCATTGTAATACATTTTTTGTCCTACAATAGTGATTTTTGTTATTTCTGATGCTTCTCTTGAAATTTGTTGGTCTGGAAATATATATCGACTGAAGGAACTGTCTTTGGTGCATGCAGCTATCTGGGTTATATCAGAATATCTACCTGAAGTTAAACATTTTGTTTATTATTGTGCATCTAAACTGTAAAAGGTATTTCAAAAAAGCAATTAATTGTCAAAAAATTATCAACAGGACTAAGTCTTCTATCCCCCTTATTTGAACTTTAGTTGATGGTCTTATTGGCAATTATACCACATCTCCTTATTTCATATCTCTCTTCAGTGAAATAACTTTAAAAAATTAGTTTTGCTCCACTGGTCTGTAAATATTTTTCTAAAATTATCATCTTTGTATTTTATCTCACCTCCAAAATAAGGTAGATGCAAAGTGTAAATTGCTAAAAAAAAAAATGAAAGAGTTATTGCCCCTTAAATGTATTGTTTCAGCAATTTTCAGTTTTTTGTTTTATTTCAACTAAAAGAAAAAAAGAACATTAGAATAATCATCAAAATCAAGCTAAATTATCAAGATGAGTCATTCATGATCCTCTTAATATACTTTATTCATAACGCAGCCTAATATGCATTGACTTTAAAATTTGGCTTAACAGTATATACAGACATTGATAATGTGTTTCTGTAGATATTGTTATATCTTTGATGTCATGAAAAAATGCAGTTCTTTCAATTTTAACGTTATCCACTGAAATATTTTTTTATAATTGAGGTAACTCATTTCTGAAGTTTAATTATGTATAACTTACTTAAACCAGTTGTCTCTAAATCAAAACAAACTATTGGTGCATCATCTATGTTTGTAAAGGTTTCAGCTTCAGGAATTGCAGGTATTTCTTCTATGTCTATTGTTGCAAAATCTTCTAACCCTAATTAAAATAAAATATACCAAGTCTTTGAAAGAAAATAATTTCAACTTTATAAAATATCAAAATCTACTAAAATTCATTAATATTTTGTGACTAAATTGTCCCAAAAATTACAATACTTCACAAGTCTGGTAAATTTCATGATTACATCTTCATGTTAATTATATAACTTTAATGTCTGGCTGAAATCTCACGAATTTTCACAGTTGGTGATTAATTGCACAGTCACTTTATAATTTGAAAACTTTTTTGACTTGGGGACATAAAAATATATACATGAATATTACATATGCATGGACCTGATGGTGTAGCATTCTCCTATTTGGATATAATGATCACATGTATCAAAGGTTATTTTATATATCCAAAGCCTTGTTTCTATTTTAAAGTATATTGATGCTATGTTTCTATTATAATAATAATTATGTATATTGACCTCTTCAAAAGTGAAAAGCACATCATACTTTCTGTCAATATAAGAATTATTACCGATTGAACTGTGGTATGTTCTCCCTTCTTTGACTTCAGCCACTGTTGTTTTTTGGGGGCGTTTCTTTTTGAGAACTTTACGTTGTCTTTTTCCCTGTTTGCTTTTGAATCTGTTTTTGTTGCCCTCTCTCTTCTTGTTTAATTTATTACCCCTGCTTAGGGTCTCATTTCCAGGTGACAGGCCTATAGATGTGTTTAACTGAAAAATCAATTCATTTAAAATCATGCAAGTCTTTATCATCTTTATAATAATTCCTTAAAAAAAAATCATATTTTGTATGTTTTTGCAATGAAAGTTGAAGGCATTTTGTAGTATGAATATTACATTTTGAGCAGCAATAATCAATCATTGAATAGAATTCGGCAAAATTGAGATTAATCTTGACCTGATGTAGAATAATCAGAATATTTACCCAGGAATCTTTAACAGTTGATATTATAATGTATTGTTTTTTTTGCTCATTTTTAAAGGCTGTAAAAGTAAGGGCTTTTCCAGAATTAATGGTATGGGAGGGAGGAAGGCACTTTTATTAAAATTTGATGGGTGGTGGTTATTTAAGAAAGATTGCCTGAACATTATATGAAATATCCAATTTAAAATGTATGCATGGTGGTGTCAAATAAAAAGTGCCTTCCTACCCCCCCCCCCCCCCCCCCCCCCTCTCCCCCCCCTCTCCCCCCCCCCCCCCCCCCCCATGATACATTTATTTTTGGAAAAGCCCTAACATAGTTGCTTAGATATGTCTTTTTGTCTTTGGTAAATAGATGTCTCATTTGCAATCATACCGTATTTTCTTATTTTTATATTTTTTTAGTTTATTTTTTTTAATAGAGAAGTATATATATATATATATGAAGTAAGATTGCATGTATTACACATTCATTGTGATTATTAAAGCCTTAATGTTAGTTGCTAATTTCTGTTCAATTGTCTTAATTGCAATTAAGTATAGTAGTACTGCAACCAGAGTTCATTTTTTAAAACTTAATGTTCCGGAAGAACACACACCTAAATTATATATCGATGGAAAGTGGAAAACGTGTACAATAAGAAAAGTTTGGTCGTAAAATTCCAGAGTGGTCACATTTTTGTGAAATTGGGGTCAAAGGTCACGCCTAAAAATATCAATATTTCAACCACAATGACAAAAAGGAGAAATTTTCTGATATTTATTCATTAGAATGCTACAAAAACGGTTCAATTATAAGCATATGCTGCAAATGATGTTAAAACGACAAATTTTACTATTTATATGAAGAGCTGCCATTACTAAATGGCGTTGATCTGGAACCTTCTGATTTTTTTTCCATTTATGACATAGCAAAAGTAGAAGTGACCTTGACCTTTTTACATCCATTAACTTTCATATTTCTTATAATTTTTCACTACAGTATATTACAGAATTATTTTCTAAACTATAAAAAAACCAGTTTATCAAATTATTTCAATATTTTACTATCTTTGAAAAAAACAAAATTCAAGCGCTGAAACAGTGTTTTTAATTTTGCATCTAAAAGGTGTATTTTGGGAAAATTAAATTCTAGTTATAAATAATTCAATATTGTGTATTTGCAAAGTCCGGACAAATCAGTTATAAAATATCATAATCCACCGAGGCGAATTCGAGGTTTAAAAAAAATCATAAGTGTGACTTGCATTAGTTCAGCGGTTGATTGAGTGTAAAACAAACTCAGTTTGGTTCATGAACATTGTCTTAGTGGGATTATCCTGGTAAAAAAGTGTAGACTCATCAATTTTTTAGGGAATTAATGGAAAATACAATGTAATGCCAATTTGCTAATGTTGTAATTTAAAATCGGTCAAGACCCATATATAAATAAACTCATCATAGATACCAGGATAGAAATTTTATATTTGCGCCAGACGTGCGTTTCGTCTACAAAAGACTCATCAGTGACGCTCGAATCAAAAAATGTTAAAAAGGCCAAATAAAGTACGAAGTTGAAGAGCATTGTCTTTTAAAAGCTACATACAATAGCTCTAGTCTTCATTAAATAGAGATATGAATCAATCTCTTCGTCATCGTATGCGGATTCGGTATGCTTATTTGTATTACAACACACTTCCCTTTCATGACACAAACAAGTTCGGTGCAGGACAGAGTTTGTTCAAAGCAAACACAGCTTTTGAGCACAAAGATTTACCTTTGCAGGTAAAAAGTTAATCTTGTAAGTAATATGATGACATTTGTCCCATGAAAAATTGTCCCCTGAAAAATGTTGGGGTATATCCATTTTTGTCTTCCGGTCGAACATTCAAGCCTGAAGTCAGAAAGAAATGTTATATCCGATCTAAAATGGAATAACTTGATGTTCAAGCGCTTCTGACTGAACTGGAAAATTTCCGATATATTTTGACATGGAGCGCAAAATTACCCAAGGAATCTCCGATGTGTTTTCCATTTTTTCAGCACAATTTGAAATGTTTTTGAAAGCATTCGGAACGCGAACAGGACCTCTCTTACCTTTGGAATAATGAAACAGCCACCAACGACGGTGTACTGTCAGTCAATTGAAAAGTGTTATCTTGACCTCTCTTCGCTTTCATCTGACGCAAACTGGAATCAATTGTGGATTGACAAACCTGAAAGTCTGCTTGTGCCATGGAATGAAACGTTCCTCACTATCAACTGTCTCCGTGTTGATGACTATATTGTCGGTAACTTTTTGTATCAAACGCCCCTCTTGATGTTTTGAAACAATGCCATCTGGAGCGTTAATACCGTCTTGATTCGGTCAAACTCGTGCATGGCAATGCTTGTCAGGTATAATCTTGCCTCTGCATAGGAAACACAAAAGCCATGTGAGTACAAAGTTTATATCAATATTCGTGACCCATATTCCCATATTCATGATATAACTGCACGCCCAATCCCAAATGTAATGGCCCAATGTTGATTTTGCTACAGAAACGATTGATTTTGTAATAGCCATACATTTACGATTTTTTTTATCTTTAGGGACAACATACGGTTCAGAAGCGCCTCTGTGTGATTTTTCATCAATTAACTAACAAATGAACTTAAAAACCCGATGCGGGCATCTTTTCCATAGAAGCACCCAATGAGAACATAGCCCCTAAGAGCGCTAGCGGTAGAGTGAAGTAATTGTTGTTCTTTTAATGCATCCTTGATATCTTCAGACACACCTTGGTGTAATTCTGAAAGTCTTAACATAGACTTCAATTTTCCTGCAGCAGATATGGCATCCCCTATAGTGAGCTAAGAGCTAAACTCTATATTTGACATCCCTTGTCCCCGCTGTGTCTAAATTGTAAGGTGTCATAATAACTAGTTAGTTTGTTCTGGAGTTTGGCAGTTGGGTAAGCATCAGAGACATTCTTGGGTAAAAGTGATTGGTATATGTCGAGGATGTGATACATGAGAAAGGCCTTTTTATGGAAGAACATATCATCAGTAACAATCGTTATCAATGAATTGAAAGCAAGTTCATATTCTTATTCTTCAATAACTGTACTCGCGATTATCTTTACCATGGATATGTTACTCACATTAGCACACCTCAAAAGACTGTCAACACGTTCAGGCGACTCAATTTTGTGTAGTTTTCTGTCCTTTTTAAAGATTTTGCTTTTACACAAAAATCATGTTTTCATATCCAAACTACAAGGAGGAAACTGAGCGCGAGATCGTATAAAAGTGTCAGGTTGTGCGGATACATGTGGATCAGATTGATCACATTTTTTGCTTTCTGGTGTTTCTAATTTAAAGATGCTACAATTTTGACGTCTTGTGTAAGTTTTATAACATCACTGATGATTCACAACTCTTTCATCCAAGGAAAGCAGAATATCAAGAGAAGTTTGTTGTAGCATCACCTTGTCATACACTAAATCTCTGCGAAACACCAATAGTACTTTTTTCCCGACCGCTTACATGCTTATTAATTGCCCTGAGGTTGAACATTGACATACAATGTATTTTTTCCACACAATATCAAGCCTTCTCCTTTTGGGACTAGTAGGAGTAAACTTTACAGGACTTCCATCACTAGTCATTATCCGGAAAAAGATCTGATCCGAAGGATTTGGTTAACTATTATAAAAAGTCAACATTTTATCAAAAAATATAACTTATTTACAGTAAATACACGAAAAAACTTCTATATATAATAAAATCACACTTTAAAAAACTCAAAATTAATGAACGTATCCAAGAAAATGAACATAATCACATAGAACCTATCAAATTCATTGTGAAGGAAAAAATAAATGATGGAGCTGATTGACGGATATGAAATTTCCGTAATAAAAAAAGGTTTTTTTGGAGTTTTTGACAAAATTGTTTGGAATTTGCCCAACAAAATTTGCATGCAGTATCGCAATAATATATTTTGTCCTCTCAAATGTCAAATACTGTTTTTGAATCATATGTTTTCTCGTTTTCAAAGAAAAATGCGTTAAATTTCCATCTAAAAAACTGCCAACTTTAAGTTTGAGAGTTTTACTCGGAGATGGTATTATATTTATGTCTTCATCATTCCGATGATCCTTGGTGATATGTGCATCGAAAATATTTACGAAAAGAGCCGGAAATTTTACAAAATGATTTTGTTTTGGGGTTTTAAGGTGACTACCCAAAACTGTAAATTGAGGGGTATCCCATTAAAGGGCTAAAATACAAAAATGTGACCAAAGAAACTTTTTACGACCAGACAGAAATTAAAATATAGATATTATTCTATCATTTAAAACAATTTGCAGCCGTGTGTTATTCCGGAACATTAAACTCGTTAACTAAGCGTCTTTTTCAATGTCAGTTGCAGTACTATAGGATGTTTATCAAATAATACCTCAGCAATGTAATTATAACCCTCATTTTTTGGAGTACAGCTGAGCTGACTCTGTAATTTAAAGATGCTGATGTGGAGAAATGTTTGGTTTTTGGAGCTTTGAGAGCAATTAAGTTATTAAAGCTTTCATTTGCCTGTGATGAGCCCAAGTTAGATAGCTTTTTAGACTGTGGTACCATTTTTTGAATAAACAGTTTCTCAAGGTCTGATCTGAGT